CAAACTCCCTCCCAGAGCCTGCACCCTGCACCCCTCCTGCACCCCAATCCTCTGCCCCAGCCCAGGGCCTGCACCCCAAACCTTCTCCCCCCATCCAAACTCCCTCCCAGAGCCTGCACCCCTCCTGCATCCCAATCCCCTGCCCCAGCCCAGGGCCTGCACCCCAGTCCTCCTCCCCCCACCCAAACTCCCTCCCAGAGCCTTAGACAGGTGGGGGGGCAATGTTGGAGGGGGGCGGGCTCTGAGCGTTCTGGGCACCACCAAAATTTCTACAACCCTGCCGCCCCTGGCAAGGATAACACATTTCTGGGACGGGGAGGATACTGGGTGCACAGAAGTGCCACAGACAGTGATGTTCAGAACTGTACTGATGGTGTCTGGCTGTGGCTATTCCAGTGGTGGTCCAGTGCACCTTTAGACCTTGTGCTGTAGACAGCCATTTATGTAGCCTATGCCTAAAGCTGCTCCTGCTGATACTGTGGAAGTGGTAGGGAGAATGTGGGGTTTGGCTGCAGTGCGGAGAGGGGAGAAGAGGAAGAGCGAAGGAGGAACTGAAGAGAAGGAACTGCTTTTTTTGCAAGGGAATTGAAAGTTCATTTGCTGGAGATACGTATGTTTAGTTTAGTTTATTATTAGGAAGGACTTTTTTCACACCCTCATCTTCCATCTCCAATCCCCATTCAGCAACTTCTATCACAGCGAGGTATCCTGGCCAAGGAGGGCTGGACATGTCTCCTCTGGAGTACATTGACATAGCTCTTGGCTCAGCTGGAGGGGAATCAGTTGAGAGCCACACAAGGAGTTTGGAGGAACTGAATGCACTAACCTCTGCAGTCCTCACTCCCCTCCAACCCCGTGGGGTTGTATGCGTGACCTCCACAATACATACAATGATATGTTAACTTGTAATATATTATTCAACCATGAGATATCTCTGTGCTATACAGTTTCCAACGAAGTGTGGTCCCTGGTAAACAAGGGAGACAAAGCTGGAGCACAGGCTATGTGGAAGCCTGTTTGTGTCTGTAGTTGTAGTTTTCTTTTCTAAATGTCTCCCGTTTAAGAATGTCTTTGATTCCATATATCATGATAGCAAGTTGCTTCTTGTAAGAAGCCCTTGCCTTATTCGCTTCACATCTTGTGTGTGTGTGTATATATATATATATAACTTTCGTGGGCTCTCTTAGTGTGGCATATAGAGAAATACAAAAGTCTACAAGACACTGCATATAGAATATCAAGGTTGGAAGGGACCTCAGGAGGTCATATAGTCCAACCCCCTCAAAGCAGGACCAATCCCCAACTTTTGGCCCAGATCCTTAAATGGCCCCCTCAAGGATTAAACTCATAGCCCTGGGTTTAGCAGGCCAATGCTCAAACCACTGAGCTAGTGTAATTATTATATTATTTGAGAAATAATAAGTGATCATGTAACTAAAAACTATTGTTTGGCATATACAGAGTGGGGGCAAGGTTAAGCTTCTGCTTGCAACTTTAACATTGACATTTCCTGACTTTTGAATGCTTAATTATACAACCTTAATGTTGTTTAAGCTTCCTGTGGAATGGCTTCTGTACATGATGGGATGGTCATGCCATCACCTTATAAGCAGACACTGAAACATTATGTTCATTCAAGTAACAATCTCTAAAGAGAAGTGAAGTGGCAGGTCAGTGCACAAAGGGAGAGGAGGCTCAAGAATGCAATTGAATGCTGCCCTGAGAAATAAGATAAAAATAACTACTAAGATAAATGTACAATGAAATAGCTTTGCTCACCGCTGTTGGTTGGGTGCAGAGAGCAGCACGATGTTTGAATGTTACTTTAAAAACAAGTAAATTTTTTACAATACCCAACTTTCCCCCCCCCCCTTCACTATTAGGTGTGAAGTCTAGTCTTTAGACCCTTTCAGAATCTCCACAGATAATTGATTTTTCTAACAGCAGCATCATTAGGATGTGTCATGCAAGAAAGAGCATAGAGTGCCTGCTTGTTAGAGCAGGGAATGCAGCATGGACAACCCCAAGCACTCTAAAATCATGAGTAAGGCCCAAAAATCATGAGATTTGCTTACAAATAATGAAATTTTAAAAATATAATATATTTTGGGTTCATTTTATTTGTCTTGTCATTTCTGAGTCTTTATGGTAACTCCGGTCACATTGTCAAGCTTTTCTCTGCAACCATGAACACTGAGATGCTCATCTAATTGCATACCTGTAGGAGCTGGGGCTTTAAGAAGAACACTCGTGATAAAATCACAAGAGTTGGCAATACTGGGACTGGGAGTTAGGACTTCTGGGTTCTGCTACTAAATCCACCACTGGCTTTCTGGATTTCTTTGTGATCTGGACTAAGTCTCTTAATCTCTCTGTGCCTCAGTTCTGATGGTTAAAGTAGATTTAAACAGGATGAAGAGCTCTCACTACACCAGCAAAGGAGGAGTGGGTGCAATGGGAGAGCTCTGTTTACCCAAGCCAGGGAGAGCACGGTCCCAGTGGGAGTTGCACTTTCATCCACATGTGAGTAAGTTTACCCATAGAAATAGTCCCATTGAAGTCAGGCATTTGCAGGATTGAGGCCAATGCTAGTAATATGGTCCTTTCTACTGAACTGTGTTTGACAGTATTTGTGAACGTCAGCTGCAAACTCTGGCCACCTGCTGAATAAAATAAGATAAATGTAGCAGCAAGTCTCGGTCCACATTGTCAACTACAATCTCAGGGCCCAATCCTGCAAACACTTGTACATTAGCTTAACTTTACTTCCACAAGTAATTACTTTGATTTTGGGACTACTCCCAGTAATAAAGTTAAACATATACATAAATATTTACAGGATTCAGGGAGGGGAAAGGGGTAAGAAAGGACAGAGAGGTGCCTAACTGTGCACCTTTTAACAATTTCACAAGATTTGAAGCTGGCATGTGAAGTTACTGCTAACCACCACTAGGTGATCTCCATCAGTAACATTTAAAAAGCATAGTATAACCATAACTAGTTATTCTGTTTTTTGCTTTTGTTCATCTTAACATAATTTGGATTGTGTTTTCCCTCCTATAATTACATTTGTGGGTGATTTCTTTCTATGAGTTTTGTAACCACCTATAAGATTTCTTCTACAAAAACATCAAGACCAGAATATCTGTTGTCTGTGATCTTGTTAACATTTTAATAGGTAAAGCTACAAACTTATAAAATGCCAACCTATACTCTTAGAGTCTAAAACAGCCCCTTAATCTGTTCTAAAACATGGAATTAATGGTTATTTTTATTCACTTTGTGGGAGCTTCTACCCTTTAATTAATTGAATTGACTCACTGATTATTTATCCCAGTGTTGTTGAACTTGCTTTCTTGGGCAAAATGTGTAAAAATAGGTTATGAGGATAGAAAAGACCCAGAACAAAATACACTTATTAGTGGGTCTCAGTCATGGTGAGCCCCATCAAACATTTTTTTGGAAAGCCCCCATTCTGCAATGTGATCTGCATGGGTCTGCATGGATATAATTGCAAGATCAGGCCCTAATTTAAGACAAAATGCAACAAGCACGTATAACAAACTATCAGAGGGAATAGGGGAAGGAGAACAAGAGTAACAGTGATAAGAATGTTACATACACTAGTGATGTACACAATTAGATTTTTTCAGATCATATGTTTTAAAATAAATATTATATAACATAAATACAATTAACATCAGCAATGCCTAGCCTGTTGATGAGGTTTTTTAAAACAAACCTGTGATTAATAGTTTGTGTTGAAGGCAAGCAGGTGGCTTACAAATTTAGCAAAGATAAAATGAGACAAGAAGTCAAAACCACACTAGCTAAAGCATGATTGCCATCCAAATAAGAGCAGATAGAAGAAAATGGGTGAGAGATTGAATATATGCATGTTGGCTGGTGCAAGTCTTTTAAAGGGATATATTGATAGGGAAGTTCCATTTATCAAGAAAAAAGATGCTGTTGAAGTTGGTAGTCCCAAATTCCACCTCTCTCTCCACTGTCTTTCCTAGTAGAAAGTCCAGTTGAAATTTTAAACTGGTTTCAGTTGGCCAAATAGGTTTTGTAATGATGCAATGCATCTATTAGTCTACTGGATCCTGGGGCTACTGATATTTAAATAACTCCAATCTACTGGAATTTCCACTGTGTTGAGGGTTTTTCTTATTTGCAAAGTATTCAGGCTAAAATTTTTGGTCAGCACCTACCTGTAAGTGCCAGGACACTTTTATTTAGGAACTTTAGTATGGATGTAGGTGTTCGGTTCCGAATATACAAGCTTGCATATTTTAGCTATAATCCTTAACGTTTTCCCAAATAAACAACCAATAACAAAATCCCCAGATCCCCAACCTGTAATTTTTAACAGTTTGCACTTATATAGCACATTCCATCTTATCATCCTAAAACAATCTATAAATATGAAGCTCTATAGCAGCCCTCTAACATATGTATTATCCCCATTTGGCAGATGAGTAAACGGAGGCATGGAGGGCTAAAGTGACTTGCCCAACATCTCACAGCATAAAAGTCCTGGCTACGAGTCCCCTGATGCAACTACTATGCTGTGTATGAAGCCAGCAGCCTAGCATTCCTGGGGTATATAGAGGAGTATAGAGTTCAGTAAACAATGCCAGTTTCAACTTCCAAAAACTTATTGTTGGAAACATATTTTTTAAAATAGCTTCTTGTTCTTCTAAGAAAAGAAATTGTTTCCAGATTTTGAATGAATCTTAGAATGAAGTCACACATGAGCAAATGTATATTAATTATTTTTTATTAAAGTATCAAAACATAACCTTGAGAATAGAAAACAAATTGCTTTTAATGCTGTTTTAAAGGTTCTCCCGAATAAAGTAGACATTTACTAAACCCATGCAATGCATTGCTCATGTCTAGCCTTTTTAGACATTGCTTTCTTGGGTATATTCAAATTAACTGCAGTACCATAACTTATGAATTATACTTGCACATACACACGGGTGCATGCACACACACACACTCACAGTGCAAAGCAGCAATGACTGAACAGATAGAAATAAAAACAGAATACCTTCTGACAAAAGTAGTGATACCACATTAACATTTGGCATGCTAGTAAATAACATTTATGTTTAACTCAAGTAGCAAATGCATGACGCCTGCGTCACCAGTAATACAGTTAATAGCAACTGTACAAAATTCCTAAAGAAGAGACATGAATTTTGTGATTATGTTGAACAGTAAATGAAGCCAGTCCCTGTACTAATACCTTATAACAGCATAAGGGACAAACTTTTTTTTTATTTTGCCTTTGCTGATATTTGTTGCACAAAGGACAAAGCCAAGGAGTTTGGTATCTGGATTATGCTTAGATCTACTGCTTCTATATTACAGAAGTCAAATGCTAATGAAAATTCATTTGACAAGGTTATTGAAACACGTTCTATGTATTTCCTGTGTCAGACAAACAATGGGCCAAATTTATCCATTGTGTAACTCCAGTTAAGCCAGTGGAATTGCATGAGGGGACTCTGTTCTCCAACCACAGGATCTGAGAAACTCTCATTGAAGTCATTGGGAGTTCCATATAATCTGCAACGAGAGACTTGGTCCCCGGGACTGAATGTGGCCCAATATGTTGTATTTTATACATTCACCTTTCAGGTGCTTGAAGTACATATCTGAAACATGATATAGGACATTACAATATATCCAGATCTTAGGAAAGTGTATTAAGAAGTTCTGTTGCAGAATATAAAAATAAAAAGGGATCTGGTATGATATCTGGTTTACCCATTTGGGGCTTGTAAAGTAAGAAGCTGATGGTTGAGGTATCTATTGGTTTAGCCTTTAGATTGAAATTGTATTTTTAACACTGCAGAACTGGTGTAAAATATTATGTACTGTAAGCTCCATTTTTATGATTTATTTCATTTAAAATGCATTATTAAGCAATTAGACACCACTGATTGAGATATGAAATCTCTGAACCCAATCCTGCAAGATGATGAACACCTCATGAGAAGCAAGAATCAGGCACTTATACTTTTTAAATAGTGGTGTCCCAAATAGAAGCGTTGAAGTTTAGAAATATATAATATTAGACACCAAAAAGTAAAAATAAAAAACAGTACAACACTTGTGTTTTCAGTTTTTTCTTGTTTGCAATATTTATTATTTCAACTTCTTAGGAATATTAGTGATAAATAAGGATAATATTTTCTTTTACAGAAAACTGTAATGATAATATTTAATAGGATTAAACAATCTGAGGATTTCACAGAAACATCAGAATTTAAACACTCATAACTCTAGCTCTTTAGTCCAGCAGCTCAACTAATAGTTCAAAACATCTAAGGTTAGATTTTTAAAAAAGTAAAAAATAGTTACTCACTACATCACCAAGTTCTAGGCTATTCTTGGATTCTAAACAGCATTTTGGTTGGCTGCAGTTACCACTCAAATGTGAAAGAAAAATTACTACAGTCAGAATTCTTTCCCCTGTATAAATCATCTGGCAATAAGAAATAATCCTGACAGGGTGAGAGACTTCAAACCATTGCTCACATGAATAAGAGCTACGTGTGGGACTACTTGTGTGAACAGGATTACTAATTTGAGTAAAGGTGTGCAGAATCAGCCCCTGTGTGATCTAATGTAGTAAGTCTTTTCCATTTCTATTTTCTGTGATTCACAAACTTGGGGTTCAATCCTGCAATCCTTACTCAAGCAAAAGTCTTATTGAAGTCCCTTCGTGGTTAGTTCCCTCTTCCCAAAAAGTGCAATTCACCCATGTGCAGAGGGCCAGCATAAGGTGGATGCATTATTTAAATTACATTTATAGCATCAAAATAGGGCTTACATGATGTATAGCCCTTGCACCTGCCCTCTGCACGGGGTGAATTTCACCCAGAATGAATGATAAATGGGAGTTTTGCCTGAATAAAGATTGCATGCTCAGAACCCAAGACATTAGGGAATCATTAGATTTTTCAAGTCTATTTTTACTGTGTAATTTTGTTTCCATAAAGTTCTTTGAAATATCACACATATGAGACATTATACTTTGGGTGCGCAAAGGCCAAGGTGCTTTCCTATTTTTCATGCAAAATTGCAATTCCTGAAGAACAGTGAGTGAGGTTCCAGTTCAGTAAATGCAAACTTAGTTACACGGACATTTGGCAAGAAACTGACACTTGTCACATCTCTCAGACTTCTCAGAATCTGCCGCTGAGTCATAAAAAACCCACACAAGTGTTGTGAAAAAAAAAAAAGTACAATGCTTAGTTTGAAACGAAAGTCTTTGCAGCATTAGGTTAGACTACAGTATGTCCCATCACATAGCAACACATTCTGCCAGAAAGCATCATTCTGGAAACATTGCAAAACTTTAAAAACACTCTCAGTGTGCTTTCCCTACCAGCAACAAGGAAAGATAGTGTCCATCCAGCACAGCTGTCGGTACGATGTGCATCATTGGAAGTCATAGTGTTCTAACACAAACATCATGAGTGCAGGCACTGTACACTACAGAGACCTAAAACTTCCGGAGCTGTTGTCTGTAGCTTCTAGGAACAGCAAGTATGACAAGTACTAAAACCTAGAGTTGAGGCAAAGGACTCTTCGACTTGATCGAGACCACATCTTTGGAGAGGAAGAATCACAGCTAAGCCAACATGATCCTTCCTGCTTAACAAAGCAATCTCCCCTGCCTAACGGTTCTAGACTAATAGGATCCTACAGATACACATTGAGTCAAATCCTCGATGGTTTCTGTTTTTTTGGTGTAAAGATGCACTATGAGAACTCTTGGTTTGCCTTAACCCTGCAATGTTCCTTCTTTGATCTGTTGAATAAAGAGGTTTCTTTCATCCTCGGGTGTTCTCCCGTTCTGTGCTCGAACTATGCAAGTGGGCCTGTGGAGATTGAGCATGTATATCAAATGCTGCTTCTCATTCTTTAGCTCTTCAATCTGGGCCTTTAGTTCTGCGTTGATAGTTTCCAACTTTTCTGATTCCTAGTCACAGAGCACAGACATAAGTATTACAGTGAGTATTTTACATAGTTAACCATAATGTTATTGTGATGGTTGCCACCCTTTAATGGTAGCAAAGCATGATGGCTGGGTTAGAAAGAAACTACCTGCTTCTTAATTAGTCATAACTATGCAACTGTACTTCACCAGTATATAATAGTCTAGAGAACAGATTCAGACAATGGCCCTCTTTGCCCTTTAAAGAAATATGACAATGGTCACAAAGCCAAATTCAATAGAGCTACCTGCCAAACATTGCTTTGGCCAAAAGGAAGCTTATTTGCCACCACCACAAAAAAAAAAAAAAAAGCCATTATGAACTCACTTGGCCAGTCCAACAGCAGAGTAGAAGTTTCAGTGAACTGCACCCCAGGATCTGAATCCTTGATTCTAGCCTGGTTCCTTGTTCCCAGGCCAGCAGGGACTTAGAGCCTGTGGAGGCAGTCCGTTCATTTTGGGGTAGGATAAGAAGCAGCACCCTGCTTTTCTTTGATAAGCCCCTCTGACCAACACAAGGAGTGATGTTAATGGGCTCCCTGCACTTTTCTGAAGAGACAGTCACTGATATGGGGCTTTTGAGAGACTGCTTAGTACTCTTAATGCACTAAATACTAAACACTACTAATCACAAACTTGCTAATGGAGACAGACATTAGCACCATAAGGGATACTTTGTGCCTATTCTTGTGTCCTCTGTGCTACCCTGTCTATAGGGCTCTTGTCTATAGGACTCTTATGACATCATTACTGTTTTGCAGTGGCATAAGCTTACGGTATCAATAAGTAATAGTAATAGTAAATAAGCTTGTGATTTGTAAAAGTTACTTCTCTGAAAAGTTCAATCAGTAGTGTTAATTATAAACCAAATGAGATGCAGCTTTAATTTGTTAAGCTACTACATCAGTGATCATTTCTAACTGGAGAGCCATTTCATAGAAAAATCAAGTTTTGGTGCATGGAGTAAGCATAGCTTATTAGAATCTATAATGTACATTATGTGAAATGTAATTTTAATTCCTCATTTACATTTTCAGATTACTATTATCCATATAAATAACACTATCATTCACTAAAATTTCAACAATGTTTTCTTCTCCTTCTTCAGTTATTTTTCATATATCTTTCATTGTTAACCAAATTTGATCTAAAGGCATTTGGGTAAAATTCACCCCAGTGTCCTAGGATTTTGCATAGGCCTTGTGCCAGCCTTCTGCACAGAGATGAATTTCACCCATTGGTGAATTCAGCTTTCCACCGCTCAAGTGAGGTGGCTAAATATCTCCATTTTACAGTTAGGGAAAAGAGGGTAAATGACTTGTCCAAGATCACACAGGAAGTCTGTAGCAGAGACAGGAAGAGAGTCCACATCTCCTAACTCCCAGTCCTGACCTTTAGCCCGAAGACATTGTCCTATTTGCTCAAATAACAGAAAGAGGAAATAGGTTGAGAACAGTCAAAGTCAGTAACTTACTTTCTGCAAACATTCTGTTTTCTCCTTCTTTTTGTTTCGGCATTTTGCAGCTGCAATTTTGTTCCTTTCCCTTCTTCTCTTTTTCCTTTCATCTTCTTGGGGCGAAAACTAGCAAGATTCAAGATGCACATACTCAGCATGATGCAGTAAATGCAGAATAATCATGTTGATAATTGCTGACTTTTAAAATAATGGTAGCACTAAAGGTTAGCACTAATAGGTGTGTTACCAACACAGAGCATCAGACACTCTAGAGGTATGCTTCTGATCTCACAACAGTGTAAATCAGGAGTATCACCTCTGAGGTCATCAATGTAAACCTGGCGTAACAGATCAGAATGAGGTCCTTTATGTGTCACATTCTGAAGAGTTATTTAAGCCAACATTTTTAAATTAAAATATATTCAGATTTTATTCTACTGACTAATGTTTAATTCCCTGAAGTCAGGAGGAGTTTTGTCTGAGTAATAATGATGTGCAGAATCAGGCCCCTAGTCTGGTGGTTGGATAGCAGAGTACTATGCCAGTGTCTAAGATCTACTAGCTGTACTCAACCCAGCCATCTTTACACACTGAATACCCTCTGATGCCAATAGGAGTATGGAGTGGGATCAATGGTTGTGTATGGAATTCACAAAAAGTTTCACTCTTTACACTCAATTCTGCTCTCAGTTACTCCAGTGTAAACCCAAAGTAACTTTGACCTATGGACCAGATTCTCATCTCACTTGGATTTTACACTAGTATAACTCCATAGATTTCAGTGGAGTTACTCAGACTTAGACCAATATGCATGAGTTCACAATCTGCCCCACCTCCCCCGAGGCTAGGAATGGTACAGCTGGTTTCTTCAGAAGAGGGTGCTATTATACAGCTTAGCGCTTTCTTTTTGGCCACCTGGTAGGTTCACAACCAGAAAACTGGTTTACAACCAATTCATGGCTAGGGTGACCAGATGTCCAGATTTTATAGGGACAGTTCTGATTTGTGGGTCTTTTTCTTATATAGGCTCCTATTACCCCCCACCCCCATCCCGATTTTTCAGTCTGGTCACCCTATTCATGGCTATTGACCAAACTTCACTGCAATAAAAGGTGTCTTTTTATATTGAGATAGCTAATTTGAGATAGTGACTTTGATATAAAATCCTAGTGGTTGATTTTACTTCCCTGTAGCGAGTTGAGGAAAGTCAACCCTTTACCTCCCACCTGCAGATGACCTTAACTAACTACATCAAGGTTAAATTGCAGTGACTTGCTCCAGGCCCTACAGCAAGTCAGTAGTGAAGCCAGATACAGAGTACCCTCTAGAGATACTCCCTTCCATTAATAAGGGAAGTTATTACTTGTGTCAGGCTAAAAATAAACTGGCCCTAACTGAAATGAAAGGTGAAATAGTGTTTCACAGTAGCATCTAAAGAAAACAGAAATAAAGAAACACTAGAGCACTGAACACATTGACAGATTAAGTCCCCTGAGGACTGCCTGTGTTTGAGATTATATCATTCTTGGTCTTTGGGATATTTTGTGGTACATTAAATCAGAACACTAATCAATCAAACGGAAATATTATCGAAGGAATGATACCTCTGCTTTCAGAACAGACATTTCAACAGGTCTTTCCAACACTGTCACTGTATCCAATGTGGAAGACATCCTGTGGGATAGGCACTTATTTTGGATGGCAAATCTCAATTCCTCCTTCACCAGTGGGGTTAGATTTGTGAAATCCTCAAACCCCAGTGACGCTGTAGGAGACAAACAGGGAACAATTGCGGAGGCGCTGACTTCTGATGCAGATACCTGGCCTGGGTTTTGGAGCATCATTTTGCTGAAAAGGAACAAAATAAAAACATTGAATAGTCTTTCAATAATCTTAACAAGCCAAACAGATTTGACAGAAGAGAGCTGCATTTTCATAACTATGAACCAATCCCTGTATATTTTTTGCATAGGTTGAGATGACATTCTTACACTATTTATGTATGTGTACATATATGTATACACACACATTTATAGATTTATTTTAGAGTCTCATGGAAAGGTGTGCGAGTTGACACTGTAGCTCATAATGGTTGCAAGAGAACGGTTACTGTCTACTTTATAAGGACTGATTGTGTATTCCTTGAGCAATCCAAACTTCCATTGAAATCAAGCAATGCAGGCTCAGATCCTAAGTGAATGCATCTATATTTAGTCAATTTTTAAATGGATGTATGTTTTTTAGATTCTATCTTATTATGCAAGTCCATTTTCAGGATTTTTCTGCAAAGTAAAATGGCATTGTGAATCCTTCAAGCATGGCAGGGTGTGTGAGGATAGTATTGGGGTGGGAGGGAGGAAAGGAGAAGGACCCATAGAAGGAAAAAATGGCAATTGAAGAGGTTTTAAATTTTAAAATTGTAAAAAGACACAAAATAAATGATTCTCTCATACTAAGAGCTATACCGCTATATTCGAGCTTGGAAGGAATGGGCCAGATCCTGGCTTCAGTTACTCCTGTGTAAATCCAAAGTAACTCCAATGGATGCCTAGATTTACATGGGAGTGACTGAGCAAGATTAGAATCTGGCCCAAAATTGTTCAAATCAAAAGATAAATTCCTGCAAAGCAGTTTGTAATAAAAGTTGGCTCAAGTGTAAAGAGCTATATATGCTCAGAGGTATCAAGCCAAAGGTAGAATTGGAGGGAAGGAATAATGCAAAATTTGAAGTATATTTTATTCTTTTGCTCTTGTGAAATCTGAAAGTGCCCTTGCACACCCTTAAAATTAAGTATTTTAAATGATTAAACATCACTGTAACTTGATGTAGCTGTATTAAGTTCAATGGAACTATGCCTGTTGATACCAGTGGAGGATCTGACCCTTATTTTTAAAAAATTGGATAAAATTCAGATTATTTTACCATATTTGCTTTTTCTACTTCCTCACGGGATGCAGTCAACTGTATATCTTGTAGTAATGGGATTACTGCAGTATTACCTGTTCTTGATTCGTATGGTAATTATAGTAAAATCAGTTGCAATTAACTCCCTAGCAGCTAAGTAGACAACTGCCTCAGGGCCATCTGCGTACATAAAGGAAGGCTCTGTGTAGTCAGCCTAGATTTGTGCACTCACCTTTATGTCAGTGCTTTAACTTTGCAGCTTTGGGTGGTGGTGAAGATTATGTACTCTAACAAATGGCCAGATTCTTCGCTCAGTTATCCAGAAATTTACTCTAGATTTACACTGGGATAACTGAGAGCAGAATCTGGGCTAGAGCTAAATATTTGTAAAGGGTAAATACAAAAATCTAAAGTTAGTGAACTACCGATATGGAGAATTCCCTTGCCCTGGTCACCAAATCCCAGGTTTGGAGGCTTTCCAAGCACTTTCTCGTTTTCAATAAAAATAGAAATACCGAGGAGTTCCCAAACTCTCCACATGAAATCCTGGCCCTACTGAGGTCAATGGAAAATTCCCACTGATTTCAGTGAGTTCAGGATTTTACCGTCAGTTATTAAAGAAGGGAAAATTCCCTGGAACTATTTGTTATTCCAACAGACCTTGGGAAATTTATGTAAATTTATTCACTTCAGGAAGCCCCTGCTCATGAGTCATCTTAAGTATTGATACTCATTAATCCTATAATCTCAGAGCGCTAGAGGATACTCATCTCCAACAAGTTAGAAACATCCCTCTGAGTTCCAGCTGACAAACCAACAACAGCATTTAGCATTTCACCAACACATTCAAATAGGTTCTTTCTATTTCCCAATGGGATTGAACCCATCATTGTATGTGGATAGAGGAAGCCTTAGCTATGTGCATTAGCTGTCACTGTTGTTTTAGCTCATGGTGATGGCTTAATTCTATATGGCTAATTCTGTTTAATTCATTCCAATCAGAGATCTAAATTAACAAAGCCATTTCTCCAGCCCACCCCAAGTAATATACAGAGATATACCTATCTCATAGAACTGGAAGGGACCTTGAAAGGTCATCAAGTGCAGTCCACTGCCTTCATTAGCAGGATCAAGTACTGTCCCTAACAGTGTTGTTTTTTCCCCAGATCCCTAAATGGCCCCCTCAAAGATTGAACTCACAACCCTGGCTTTAGCAGGCCAATGCTCAAACCACTGAGCTATCCCTTAATTTTCAGTACTGGTGATAGGTCTGTTTTGGTTTTTTTTAAATATGTGAATAAACTTTTAATTAAAATCAGTATTACCACCAAAAGAAACCAAGAATGTTCAGAGCTTTCAGGGAAAATATCATAAGAAATATTGTCTATGCTGGATTTCCACTGGTAATTTGAGGAGTTATTTTCAAATATCCACAAAACTCTGCTAAAATCCCTTTTATAACCCTATTTGCTTTTACTGGTGTCTCCTTGATGTAAGAGTGATGGGGGAGTGTTCTCTATGGGCACCCTTGACTTTAGAACTTGCGGCTCCCTTTGGTCTGAAATAGCCCAAGTCTGCTGACCTTCAAAACATGCTGGAAGGCATCTCTACTTACTCAGGCTTTAGGAAAGAGAAGGGGTTTGTGGGTGGGTAGGTTTGTAGGAGTACTGTTCTGGGTCAGTTTTCCTTTGGTGGGGTTTGCTGCTAGTTTCCGCTTGTTTTTTGTAAACTGTTTGGGACAGGGACTGTCTTTTTGTTCTGTGTTTGTACAGCACCTAGCACAGTGGGGTCCTGCTCTATGCCTGGGGCTCCAGACACTATGATAATACAAATAATAATAAATCAGAACTATATCAGAGGTACGGAGAGTGCTAGATAGATACCTTTTGTATACTTGATAAATAGACATAAAATTGTAATGTTGGTATTTTCCTCTGTTCAAAAACATTTTTTCTTCAAGATGTAACATACAACTTCCTATAATAGTATAAGCAAGAGTTAAAAATGTGTTTTGCCTCCCTTTTTCCCAGTCATCTGTCTGTAAATTATCTTAGGCTGCAAGTTATATGGGGCAAGGACCTGGTTTACTCTGTTTGTAAAGCACCTAACACACTTTGGCTTGCTCTATAATTAGCCCAAGAAAATAATCACATCTAAACCTTTCTGTTTAACTACAAGTCCATACAACTACATGGATCCCAATCTGGTTAGGTGCTGAACACCTTCATCTCCCATTGAAGTCACTGGGAGTTGGAGGTGCTGAACACCCCACAGAATAGCACCACAGAGGCTCAATTCATCCCTGGCGCAAGTGCAAGCCACTCCATTTGAAGCTTATGATCAAGAAAAAAAAGGACATTTCCTGATGAAGATCCCATTCCACAGTTTGTGTAATGATTCCCCCCCCCCCACTTTTAGTTTTCACCTCTCACATTCTGACATTTGATGTGTCAGGGCACATTCTCTATTCCAAAATCCAAACTCAGCCTTTATGTTATTTAACGTGTCCTTCAGTTTAATGCTAATATTAAAAGTGAACACTTCAGGTCACCCTCACTCCTAGCTTTCCTTTAGCTTAACTGCAGATGAATGATTTAATTGTATTTCCTTAGATGAATTCATTTTCCTCTGCTGCTGACGCAATAAACCCTGTGAGCTATACAGGTTAATCTGAAACGGCATTATGAGCAATTATAGTTCACAACCTCTGTGCACTCAAATTGACCTTTAGGATTCTGATATCCCAGATCGTATCTGCCTCCTTATTTGCCGAACTTCTCTGCTGTTGTTGCTACCAAGAAAATCGATTTCACACAGGAAACTCGTTCTGTGTAACAGTTTTTCTGTTGCGTCGTCACTCAACCCTGCTCAGTTAGGCAACAGGTCAGCAACTGATCTTGTTCATGTCAGTCATCAGTAGCGGGGCAAAAAAATGACTGTTATCGCCTAGTGACTTTCCCCACTATTTAATTATTCACCACCTTGCAGGATGATATTACTTCTCGTCTGTGTGTACGCTAATCAAATTCTCAAAAGAGGTCAATATTTCCCCAAAATAACATAAAGGAAAATAGCTTCATTTGGGACCCTACAACACTTATATGTAGCCCCGGCTCTCAACAGACACAGCCATTGCTGTGTGACCCGCATTAACTGAAGTCTGCGGCTGCCTTGAGCTCTTGGTTACTAACTTTTTTCTCTAAAGGACTGTATCGCAGGCACAACAACTTGGGCAGCAGCTTGCGAGCACCGGGCGCCCCGCAGAGCCGCGCTCCTACTGCCGAGCAATGCGCCGCCCTACGGACTCGAGCGCTACCCCCTGCCCAAGAGAAACGAATGAATCGGGCAGTAAAGCGACCCTGGCCGCTCAGCTGGGAGAAACCCCGTCTCTCGGGTGAAGGGGGAGGGCCAGATGCGCAGGGTCCCCCCCCCCCGAAGCGGCGCCCCTGGCCCCAGTGAGAGCGCCCGGCTCCCGGGGGGTCAGACGCGCGGCTGAGCGCCCCGGGTTAAGCCGAAGCGGGGGGAGCCGCGATTGCACTGTCCAAGCGGGGGGATGTCTAGGGCGCGGGTCAGAGACTCCGAAGCAGGAGAAATAGGGGGGCGGGGGGGCTTCTTGTGCCTGGCCCCAGCAGGAGTCAAAAACTTCGCTCTTCCGAGCGCACTTTTGCTTTCAGTTGCGGTTCGCGAGCTCCCCAGCCCACCCGCGTGAGCGGGGCCGAGAGGAGGGTCCCCCGGAGCTCGCCACCATCAAGTCCCTTAGCCAAGTCCGGGCGCTCCCCGGCGAGGCGAGTCCCCGTCCCCCCGCCCTGCCCCTTTCCAAACTCACTCACCTTTCCCCCGCCGCTTCTCACGCCGCCTTGCCGCGCCTGGGACAAGCAGAGCGGGACGGAGCAGACGCGAGCACGGGCGAGGCAGCGCCGGGGAGCAGCAGGACGGCTCGGTCCGTCCGCCTGTCCGCCCGGGTCCCTGCCGGGCGCGCTGGCTGGAGGGGCTCCAGTCCCTGCCGGGCAGTTCCGAGTTTGCCGCTTGGAGAGCGGCGGCTGCTTCTCGGTGTGTGTCTGAATCTCTGGCTCGGCGAGAGGTTGCATCACCCTCCTTATATAGCGGAGTGGGCAGCGCTGGTATTTACTCTGGCTGCGAGTCCCGGGCTGATGTCATGCTATTAATAGCCTCGCCGAGAGAGCGAAGGAAGGGGGAGCGCAGCTAGCGCTGGGCGGTGATGCAAGGTTCCCCCCATCCCGACCAGGAGGAGGAGCAAGGGAGCTGGCTCGCATGCACACCCGCTCCATAACAGGACTGCAGCCGCCTGGGCTAGCCGCCAGATGTTAACTCCTGCAGCTGCGTGTCATCCTCATGAGCCAATGGTGCCCAAGCCAGCTGCATGACTCCAGATCGCTGGCATCCTGCTGCAACGGGGATGGGCAATAACTGATCGGGGGGCGGCGGTGGAATTAGGGGGCAGAACTGGTTCGCTGAAGGGACCTTTTAGGAAAGGCTTTGTCATTTTCTGTAGCCATTTAAACGGTTTGAAACCCACCCCCCCATTAGATCAGCGTTTGTGTAGGGGGCGAATGTGTAATTGTGCATCAGGCATCTGTGCCCGTGTGACGACCCTAGCACCGTGTGTGTGATATTGTGTGTCTGTTTGTATACGGGTGTGTACGCGCGTCAGCCTTCCCGGGCAGCCCCTGTGCAAGGGGAGCAGCGTGCGGCTCGCGCGTTGACACAAAAATACTATAATCCGCACCGATCTGGGTCTCCAGCGCCTGCTCTGAAGAGTTCGTCTCCACTGGAGATTTAGCGAACGGGATGAGAGGCGGGGACGGGTCCGTAGCGTGTGGGAAAGGGGCATTTCTAACAGAGAATCGAATTCACTTTGGAAAGTAGCCTCCCCTCAGAAAACTGTCCGATCCACGGGTGAAGATTGAGAAGATTTCTAGAGAAAAATCACTTCCCCATTCCCTTTCCCCCATGCGGCGCAGATGTGCTTCCTGAGATGTTTTCGGCGTGATCTGCTGTTTGTAATTCCGTACCTTTACAGGCTTTTACTAGGAAACGGGTGCGTGGGCGAGTGGGGCTTTTTAGTAATAAAAGCAAAGCCCGTTTTACGATAATTTTTGAAGGATTATGTAGTTTTCAAAAGAACTGAAAATGTGATCCTGTGTCACTGAGATGTAGTTCCCCCAATTTCAGATGCCACCTAAACGTTCAGTGTACAAATTGAGTGGGCTGACTTTAATTTTTACCCGTAAAGATTAAAGACCCCTTTGCTGACACATCAGGGAGCTAAAAAATATCTTTCCTTAAACAAAGCAACTAACAATATCCTTCTGCCTTCGGGGAGGAGGAGGACTTAAGGGGAGGAGAACGTTTTCCTTTTTTCATTTCACATCATCCTAATGTCTTAAACAACAAGAATTAATTTCTAACAGCCACAACACAAAAGCTGGGAAACAGATTGTTTAATGTGCTTCAGTATTCATAAATACACACACACATATATACACAACATAATATAATACTTACATAATACATACAAAAAACAGCATGAACACAACTTTCACTTGCAAACTCAGGCACTCAAGCCATGTTAACTCAGCCACTTTGTGTATTGAGTGTGTACATGCATATTACGATATACATCAATAAATACATACAATGCATTAACAAGCAAGAGCACTACTTTAAGGTCTGCATTTAATAAGGGACCATATATGTGCATTGGGGGCAATCTAATCCTGATAATAGCCTTAAATCTTGAAATGTCATGACTTTTGCACGCTTGATCTCACAAACTTAACACTTCATTAACAATGGCATTTTGCATTTAATTTCCTACTTTTTTTAAGGAGAAAGGGTTGGGAACAGAGAAAGAAAATCTGGCTTGCACAGTTTAGAAGATCATCTTTGCAGTGTGTAGGTACAGTTTGTTCCTTGCTCTACACTTATGTGGTGTGTTCAGTTTATAGATTCTAATGGCAAGGTCTTTATTCCACACCTGTTCAGTTTTAGACCCCTTGCAAGATCTAAAACATTGATTGCTGCACACTGCCTAGCTATGCACTCATATAGTGGTCATATCTCTTTAAGTACACACCTACAGACACTGGAACAAAATCT